TGCGATCGATGTCGACTTTACTAAGTCCACTGGCCTTTCGCCTGGTGCACAGCACCTCTGCATTTTCCTGGGGGCTGCATCCAGGTCAGCCCCCTGAGGACAAAGGCTCAGTGGCTCAAGCAGCGTGCTTGCAATCCCAACGTGCGCGACGCACTTGCCAAATCTCTTTCTATTGGGTGTCCGCTGGCAGTTGCCACCTATCATCGCCTAATTAGATAGCCTGCTCAGAAACTGCTAGGCACTTTGGCCGATTTTGGGGGCAACTGCTCAGCGGGAGTTCGGCGGCTAATCATTTGTCTCACCTCATTGATGGGTGAAGTCGGGCTGGAAATCGATTAGTTTCGTTTGAAGCTTAAGCTTTGCTTCCTGGCTTTGCCACACAGGCCTACATGAGAGGTTGGGTGTTTTTCCGTTCGGCAGTTTTTACGCTTTTGTCAGCGCTCCATGGGGGGCCGGCCAGGAGACCCATCATTGTCCAATCCCTGTCGGGTCACCTGACACCCGGATGCCCTTAGATACTGCGAGAATCGTTGAATTCGTCAGCCTGCGGCTTGCTGTGGCCCGCTGAGGTTTGCGTAGGTTCAGCCAAGGTCTCATCGTGCCCTAGATGGGTTGGGAGGGTTGCATCCGTTCTAGGGCTTTGGCGAGGGCCTCATTGAGTGGGCCTGGCAAGCTGCGATAAGTTTGACACAGAAGACTTGGACGCGCCAAGTGCTTGATTACAGACTCCTGCAGCTCATTTTCCTGCCCCAAATATACACGCGAGGGGTACAAACTAGGTAGGTATCGCCATAGAGGGCAGGTTCTCAAGACGTTGGCTTCCAACGATGCTGTGTGTGAGAGAACACTCCTTAGCTTAATCCTGAGCCTCGACAAGTCTTTCCCGTGGTCTAAACTGGTCATGTGCAAGAGTCACCAAACGGAAACCGGCGACTCGGTCTTTTTCCCGAGGGGATCTAGATGGCCCTGGTAAATGGAAAAGCAATCCACGCCAGTGCGAATCTATTTCGGTGTCTGTTTTGAGGCTACCGGTTTTAAAGGAAAAACCACAAGGAAGCCCACCAAAATGGGAGGTCTCCCCAAAGAAGAACACACTCCCAAGCAGGGGAGCGAAAGGAAAGCAAGCAAACTCCATGTTTTGAGAGGCAAAGAGGCATGCTCAAGCCGGTTTGGGTGAAGTGTCTGGCATTTGCAGAAGTCTGAGACTCTTAGAGGCGTTCACCTCGACACTCATTTCGTCCGCAGCGACAGTGGAGTTGAGGCATGTGTCCATAACTATTTTGTGTCATGTCTAATATATATATATATATATATGTATAGAGCGTGATCATACGTACAAATGGAACACAAACACGAAAGTGTCATGCACTCTCCACATGGTTCACTTTCAGAGCTTCCTTCCCGTTTCCCTTTTGCGGAACCCCGAAAAGTGGTCGTTTCCAAGAGAGACCACCGGTAGATTGATAAACTTTTGTTTTAAGGAAATCCCGTGGCCCCTGTTTCTTGAGTGCAACGGGCAAGCCACTTTTTGGCGGACCGGTTGCTATTTTAAGCCGAAACCCAACAGAACCGCGATGTGGACGCGTTGCACCGAACTCCTGATCAAGACTCATCTCGGATGGTCAATGCACGTTCAAATATAGGCATTGGTATACACCTAGATGTAATCTGGGGGGGGGGGGCATGTGGTGCAATCGTCTTCGTGGCTGCATTTTGGCAAACATGTTGATTTGACCCCAACCCTTCGAGGACTCTATAATCAACACAAATCAACATTGCTTCGTTCAGCAGCACTCTTCATCCATATCCTGAGGCGGCAGTTTGAGCATTCTTGCCCTCTGGCAACAAGTGGGGCCTGTTACCAATCAATGCTTTTGAATGCCACTCTCGGCAAATCACGTGAAAGGTACCGTCAAAGGCGAATCTCAGCGGGTTAGAACTCTTTTTGGCCCGCTTAAGCGCAACATTCGGCGACTCTCAGTGACACTCGTCAGCGTTGCTTTGAGCGACACTTTGCGCACCTGAGCAAGCTTCAGCGATGATACAATTTCGCAGCAACATTCCTGATGGCAGTCTCTAAGCGACGCTTGGTTCACACGCGACAGCGCATTCACGTGACGCCGCCTGAGTGCCAGACTCTTGAGCCACGCTCATAGACAAGCAGCAAGCCATGCCGTTCTGAGCTCTCAGCAGCTGAGGATGCTTTTGTACGACTGGAGTTTTTTTGTGTTGCTTGACGCCAGATATCGCAAAGAGTCCCGTTTAGTGAAAAAAATGGGTCTGGGTGGGACTTGGACTTGTTAGTAGTCGACTGAGTATTGCCAATCCTTAGTTGAGTATTGCCCAAACTTACTCTCAGATTCCCAGTACATAACTTGACTGCTATTGGGTTGGATCTTTAGACTTCAACTTTGTGGGAAATCAAGGAATTTTCCACTAAGCCCCCCAAAAAGTCAAACTTTTTGCAGGGGGGTCAACAGCAACCAAGTTAATCTAGCATTGCCAATTTGAGTTCTACTTGTAGCCTAAGCCAGAAAAGTGGAGACTTCCACTTTGTTTGCTTGCTTTTTGTTTGCTTCTTTCTTTCTTTCTTTTTTTTTGGGGGGGGGGCTGCAAACACTTTCTATTATTGCGACCCTCGAAACAGTCGCAGGATTGAAAAGTAGGAAACAAACTGTCTGCCATAGCGACTACAGATAGCGGTCGCCGCAGTACAGGACTCCATACGATGTCCCTTGCGCTGCTCTAGCCTTCTTCGAAGCCTAGATGCAAGAGCAACGCCTTTCTCGCTTGTGCGCAACTCGCAGCAACCAGCGACGGTGAGAGGAAGCCAACTACATGCCAAACGAAGGGATGATTGTATATTGACATGAGTCTAATCCGTAGCACGCACAGGGTCGACTGCACCAATGTCAACCTAAGTTGAATAAATGGGGGTGTATTAATAAATTTTTCGGCCACCGGACCCGCTTTCTCACCCAATGCTAAATTAAGAAGGGGCTAATTCAAAAGTTAATTGCATACATACAAGACCGCCCCCCCAAGTCGACCCGCCAAAGCACAACATTAATAAACCACCAAACAACTCCCATTAATAAAATTCCCCGAAACGCGGGGGCGAGCCAAACATTTTTTTGTCTATCAGAGAGCCAACCAGTCCAAAATGATTCAAAAGTAAGCAGGTAGCGTGCAGAAGTTGATGGCACAGAGACACATGCAACAAGTGTGCAGCGCACCAGGCAAGGTAATTATATAACTGGAACCTTCAAAGGCTCCCCGGCAGACCTCAGATCTCCACAAAACATACATGCCCGGAAAGTGCGGCTTTAAAATGAAGTCTCTTTACAAATGTCCCTGGGCTCCAACGTGAGGTACCCCACACGAGCTCCCCAAACCCGCATTAGTAAAAGGGTTCACATTAATAAACACCCCAAAGCGACCCCTAGGAAGAACTAGGTATTGGTACTGCTACAAGTACTACTAGTACTACTAGTAAGTACTTGAAGCAGTACTACGAGTACTCGTTGTACTAGAAGTAGTACTACAAGTACTAGAAGCAGTACTACAAGTACTCTAGAAGTAGTACTACAAGTACTACAAGTACTACAAGTACTACAAGTACTACAAGTACTACAAGTACTACTAGTACTACTACAAGTATTACAATTGCTAGAAGCAGTACTACTACAGCCACTACCACAAGTACTACAAATACTAGAAGCAGCACAAGTACTACTACAAGTACTACAGCCACTACTACAAGTACTACAAGTACTAGAAGCAGTACTACAAGGACTACTACAGGTACTACAGCTACTACTACAAGTACTACAAGTACTAGAAGCAATATTACAAGTGCAATTGATTTTTATTACGGTACTTTGCCCAAAAAAAAGTAAGACAAAAGAACAGTTGAGGGGGGGGAACCGTTTACTAATATGCAGTCGACATTACCGTGCGGAAGGCACTAAGTTTGCTGAAAAACGAAGCCCTATCTCAGCCGCCACATGGAAACCGCTTTGATCGTATCAGCCCGGCAGGGAGGCCGAGGCTTACCGCGCGAAACATTAGCAGGCATGCGATCCGCAGAGATCGAACAGCAACATGACCTGCTGGCAACCGCTAAAACTAAGAATCGCAAGCCAGGAAGCCGCAGAGCAACAGCTTCTCACCTGGCTTGTTCGGATGCTTGCAGACCCCTGCGAATGCGATGCAAACGTGTGATGTTCAGACCCCCTTTGAAAAGGGATCATTTTCTGCGCATGGAGTTGGGGGAGGGGGGGTGACCCCCGCAATTTCGTGTGTAGCTTCATTTGGACTACTGGAGGTCCCTGTGCATTGAGCCACTCAGCGACTCCGCTGCGCTCGGCAGCCGGAGGATCAGATTCGCGGTGTCGAAGTCACTCCGAGGAGTGCTTTGTGGCAACGTGCCCTGGGCTGATGAACAGCGGTTTGCCCTGGGGAAAATCGTTTTGCAACGTTTTGCACTCGGCGGGTGGACGCGGTCCTGCGCCAGACTCCAGGTTTGCGCTCGTGCTCTTTAACTCTTACATCCGACGAAGCATTTTTGGCAGTGACGCAAGTGGCGCAAAAAAGAAGCATTGCGTGACGCCCAATAGTTGCAGCTGATTGCTCTCCAAGTTTCTACTCCTTTCTATTCATAGCTATCCTGGTTGGGTCAGTTATTGAGTCATTTTGGTTAAAAGTGGCACTGGTTTCAGCTTGATTTGGACCACTCAATGCCATGTTGTATATTTCGCAGTACGCACGGCACACCGGCTGTCGGCAAGACCTGTGAGATGGTTGACTCGGTCCCCCAGCTAGGTGCCCTTTTCCCTCTTTTTTGGGGTTTAGGGTTCCCCTACTAAAATAGACTTCAGAGAAAAAAAGGACAAAAACAGGGGTACTCTAATTCGAACCTCGCTACCGGAGGACCCCAGTGGATGTCGTTCGCAGACCGCACGGCCCATGGGAAAAACATCTCCAGTCCTCTCGGCCAGGGCGCAGAGCTGGCCAAGCAGCGGGTGCACGAGATGGCGGCGCAGAAGAAGAAGTCGGCCGGATGTTTGTTTTTCTTTTTCCCGGAACATCGGAAGGAGGGCGAATGAGTGTTCTCGGCCAATCGGACAGAGGGCGAATTTGCGTGTCCTTGGTAGACCTCCAGAAGGTCAAAATCAACAAAGGGGAAACTTTCCCATGGCCGTGGACTGTACAGCTTTAGGACCAGTGGGGGATCGCCCACTGAAACCATGTGCAAAAAGACGTTCTGTGATTGGCCACGGGAATCCCCATTCAAGTGAGAAGCTGGTCACGGAGATGGAACTCCCAATTGGGCATCACAGAAAGGTGAATTTGGACAACATGGCCGGACTGGAGTCGTTTTTTTGAGTTTGCCGTCTTTTTGGGTGGAACACATGAGGTCTATCAAAAACCCCTAAGTGCAGACTTATGGAAGATGTGCTTGTTGAACGCGGCAATTTGTTCTTTGTGCGACTGAAAACCAACAGGAAACTGCAGATTGACACAGTCGGACTTTGTTTCTGGAGGTGGAGGTTCTGGAGGTCTGCATTCAAGCAGTTGAGTTTTCGTTCTTTTCACCCCTTGCTCTGTGTCACTGGCTATGTCCGGGGGGGGGGGGTCAGGGTCTATTTGAGAAGGATCACTGGCAAGAATCGGTTGGAGTTTTGAGTGACTGGAGTGATTCAAAGGGTAGGCCAAGGAGCCCTGGACGAAGCCCACGCGGAAACTTAAGTATCAAACTGGCAAGGCAATGTACGCTCAGCCGGCACTAAGACCTGTGGCTCATGCGCACACATGGATCCAGAACATTCAGTCAAGTGGGTTCCCTCCCAATTCACTTCCGCGATAGCCAAATCCAAACGCCAAGGAAGGAGGCTGTCTGCTTTGGAAGGTACCCTTAGGCCGGACAAAAAAGGGGTCAAGAGAGATGACCACATGGGTGTTTCTAAAGATGGGCCCTTTTGCTTGGTATCCGAAGGGAAACCCGAAGGAAAGCCTTTTTGGGGCAGCCCTTCTGTGGAATCCAATCCGTTTTGCCGCACTTAGTGCTTCTATGGCGTGTGAGCCATGTGTCGCAGGGGAGGTTTTAGTTTCCTTTCGGTTTCCGTTTGAAACTGTGCAAAATGGGTACCAACAACAGACACATGGCTCCAGGGGAACCTTCCCCATTCTTTCCAGGGATCCTTCTTTCTAGAAAACCTCCGGAAACCCAGGGAAAAACAGATCCGGTGTTTGCAAAAAACAATGCTTGAAAAGAATGGAAACGGAATCAAACCCAAGAAGTTCTGGGGAATCACTCACTGTCGAACTCAGAGTGCGATTGCTTCTACCAATATTATAATTCACCCAGACCCTTGGCTTTCTTGCCAAGCGGCCCGTTGAGGCCATGGTGGAAGATGACCAGGAGCTCGACCAAGCAGCGCCCTACCGAATCGTGGCTGAGGACCGGCGGACGGATGCGAGAGCAACGCGTAACGTGCTCGCTCTCAGAGCGCCCGTTTTTGCGCGGAGGAGTGGAACTGAATGTTACCCTCCTGTCCACTACTAGGTCCCCCAGCGATTGGTGCCCTCTTAGGGTTTCTTTTTTGGGGAGGGTTTCCCTACCAAAATAGACTACAGAAAAAAAATCCAAAAAAGAAACAAAAAAACGGGTACCCTTATGCTAACCTCTCTACTGGAGGACCTAACATGGAGCCTGCCAGATCCACTTTAAAGTTCCAGGACCCGGACAGGAGAACACCCAGTATCATGGAAGCAGATAGGCTTTTGGAAGATGAGCATTCAAAAGACTCCTTGTCCACTTCCATGATTGGACAAAGAGTAACCAGTTCTGACAGTTTCTACTCCTGACCAGAAACACCAGTGGGGGAATTGCGGGGGCCCACCATGAACTAGTGCAACTGTCACCGAATTCTTCAAGCGTTGGCCAGAAGTGAAACTACCGGAAATAGAAGTATGAAGGTCCTTAGATGTTTGCAATGGGTCGAAGTCCTACCCTACACCAGGCAGTTCCCCCTGCGCCGCTGCAGGAGACACAGATGACAGACCTCTCAAAGATTTGCGGCTTCCATGTTTATTCATTTCACTGGATACCTTCTCAGCCCTGCCGTCACTGCTCAAGACACGTTTGTCCCAAGTCCTTTCCGTTATGAGCCACGGTCAATATTTACTGATCTACTGCAGAGGGGATGTCGTCGGGTACACTCACCAAATTAACAAGAATTACTATTGCCTGTGATTGCTCTGAGTGCTTGTGTCACAATTTGTCCTTCCAGTTTCTTATCATGCACACAGCTGACCCGAGGGGATTACAGAGACTTGTCTATCTGACTCTCCGGCGCAATGCTGTCTCCATGGTACCACAGCCTGCCTTCGCGCATCGCATTCTCCACTCCATCCGCCTCCGCCTCCACTGCATCCAAGCCGAGTACCAACATCGCCAGTGGCCGTGGCTGGGCCGCGTCAGCCGTGTGTGCCTATGCTGTGCGCCGAGTGTCCAGCCGCGCTTCCGCCGAGACTCCGGCAAGTCGAGAGCCATCGCTGGCGAGGCTGCTGGCCTTTTGGTTCGGCGATGAGATGCTAAGCGAGCCGAAGCGGCTGAACGAGGTGGACTACCTGCGCGGAAGGACGAAGATGTGGTACAGCAGCAACCCCCAGCAGGACGAAGCTGCCCGCAGGTACGTGCCGCTCCTGCGATCAGAGTACGAGGCGCTGAGTGAAGCGCCGCTGCAAAGCCGCGAGGAGCCGAAGCAGCTGCAGAACTTGGCGAGAGTAGTCCTCTTTGACCAAATCCCTCGCAACTCTTTCCGAGGAGAAGCAGAGGCATTCTACTACGACGAGGCAGCGTGCAAGGTCAGCGACGCTCTCATTGAGAGTGGCTTTTCCGATCGCTGCTCTGCCGCGGAATTGCTAAGTCTTGTCCAGCCTTTGGTGCATGCCGAGAGTTCGGATGCATCTTTAGGCATGCTTGCGATACAAATTCTGCAGCAGAACATGAAGCGATTGCCAGATGAAGCTTCAAAGGTTCTGTTTCAGGCGCCCTGGCTGCCTAACGCAACGCCAGAGTCGCTTGTACTGTCACAACACTGACGCCAATCAAGTTGTTGAAACGGCCTTAGTTTACTCATTGGAATTGACTGACCAATATGCAACTGATCAATAGCGGACGCACATGCATTCCCTGAGCCTAATACCAAGATGTTGCCACGTGCAAGCAGCTGAGGCAATTCTTTCTCATGATGCTCACTGCAAAGTGCTGCGTCGTTTCGGCCGCTATCCACATCGCAATGCCGCCTTGGGGCGTGAAAGCACGCAGGAGGACGCTCCTCTCTTTGCTTCGCCATGGCTTGTGAACCTGCTGCATCGCTGTGTTGCTCCTTCAGATTTCTTTTAAAAAAATGGCTTGGGCCCTTGCCGGGTCCAAAAGAAGCAACTGGAGCAACGGAGTTTTTTTGTATCATTCTCAGTGGGATCTGCAACCGTGGCCGAGTTCCCTTGGATAAACCGGGGCCAAGTGACCGGTTGCCCCCTGGCAGGAGCTGGCCTGGCTGGAATCGGACGCCCCTGGCTGGGCCAGAAGCCAGCAAGCGGCAACGGCGCCAAAAAAGAAAAGCCGGGCGCAGGGAGGAGGCTGTCACTACGAGGGGACCGGATGATCCCGATGAACCCCAAGCTACAGATCAGCTAAGTCCACGAAGAAACCGATCCAAGAGACCCTCAGAAGAACGGGGCGAAGATTCCACATGGCGAGCACTATAGTATGATCTTCCCATGTCCCTTTAGGAAAGCCGTGATTTTGACTGTAGCCGTCCTTTGGAAAATAAGTCATATAGTATTATAGTATGGCTATGGTTGCTAAGAGTCGGAACCACCTCAAATGTGGTTGATGGATAAATCCCCACCAAATCGTGATGTCCAAGTTTCAGGGATCCCTAATCAAGCATAAGCACTGTGTGTGTGTGTGTGTGTGTGTGTGTGTGTGTGTGTGTGTGTGTGTGTGTGTGTGTGTGTGTGTGTGTGTGTGTGTGTGTGTGTGTGTGTGTGTGTGTGTGTGTGTGTGTGTGTGTGTGTGTGTGTGTGTGTGTGTGTGTGTGTGTGTGTGTGTGTGTGTGTGTGTGTGTGTGTGTGTGTGTGTGTGTGTGTGTGTGTGTGTGTGTGTGTGTGTGTGTGTGTGTGTGTGTGTGTGTGTGTGTGTGTGTGTGTGTGTGTGTGTGTGTGTGTGTGTGTGTGTGTGTGTGTGTGTGTGTGTGTGTGTGTGTGTCGGGGACTCTTTTTTTTCGTCTTTTTTAACGGACATTAAAAGAACACCCACCTCTTTTGGGGGGGTCCAACTTTAAAGAAGGTTGGCACAGCCCATCTTTGGTCCGGCGCCGTTCCTTCGGGGGCTTCCGCCCATTGAAACTCCGTCGCTTCCAGGACGGCACGCTGCACAGCAAGTCCTTCGCCCACACGGACAAGGGCATGCCCCACCCCCAGCGCCAATACGAGTTGGCCGGCGAAACCGTGGCGACGAAACAAAAAGAAACACCAAAACAGCAGGGGGCTGTTCATGAAAGCCGGCAGCCCGAAAACTCCAAAAGAAGTTGGAAGGTTCGCAAGTTGGTCTGGCGGTTTTTGTGGCTAGAGGCAAGTGTAATGTGTATCCTAGCACGTGGGAGCGGGTGTTTTGCTGAAGAGATGTGCACGTGGCTCCTCGAGGTTCTCCCCGGCTTGAGGTACTTCATGGGAATGACACTCATGAACTTCAAGTCCGCGCGGAACTCAGCTCCGGCGTCGCTGTTTTCTTTGCATGTGTGTTGTAGCAGCTCGGTTTGTTTGGCTCGGTCCATTTTGTTGTGGGTCGCTGTAAAAACAAAGGGTGTGTTTTTTGCCGATATTAGCCAAGGGATGTGAAAGAAAATTGCTCAGAAGCAAGATTGCCTTCCTTTCGGTTTGCCATTTACACCAAACCCCAAGCAAGGGTAGCCTTAAACATGGTTTTGGGCTTTTCTTCAGCGTAGAAGCTGAGGCACCGTCCAACCAACCCTGGGTCGAGCTCAGGCGGGATCGCTCGGGACGTTGACTGCTTGCAATGGACCTAGCTGCACCTGGATGGCAGTCACCAACCATGTAACAAGGAACCAGCCTTAACCCTCCATACCCTCGCGCATTTCATTTTTTTGGTTATGGAGGACCGCTTTGGAGTCCACAAGGAGTAGTGGGCCTGTTGGAAGTAAAGGGTCCTGGCCCTGGCTTTCTCGCCCGGCGCTGGGGTGAGTCGGTGAGTCGGGCGCTGCCCAGAGCCAAGTTACAGCTGGAGATGTGAAACCGAGAGATGGGCGTGGGTCAAAGAAAGGTACAAAGGTACCCAACATGGAGCCCTGGTAAATGGAAACATGGACATTTCAACCTGCGGTCCGATTCCTGGTGGCCTAATTTTGGCCCATAACCCATATGTTTTGGGTCAATCGCCTTGGCAGATTCCTTTTTGATTTGGGACTCTTTTGCTTCGGACTATGGAAGTAGATCGTTTTTTGGCACTACAGTACCGCAATAGCCAAATTGCTGCAACCCGCGGAGAAAGCGGCTTTCTAGCAAGTCACTGGCATGCCCAGCTGAATTGCCAAACAAGATGTGCAACAGATCTTGAGAGCAATGTCTGGATGTGCCGTTTCTGAATTTCCCTTCTTCTTCTTCTTCTTCTTCTTCTCCTTGTTGGTCCTTTTTAGTACTCCTTTAGTATCTGTGATTAGCCATGATTCATTCCATCAACAGGGATGTCGCGGTAGTGACTGACCTGTGATGTTTGGCTCAAGTTTGCGGGTCCGTCGCGCCTCGGATGAGCGTCGCCAGGTCCCCGCGTCGATCACCTTCGTGTCGGTGGAGAAAGAGACATCGGCCCGGGGCAGATTGGTGGGGTCCGCCCGTGCGGTTCATCGTCGATCAAGGTTGCGGGTACTTGTTTACTTGTTTGGGATTTTCCCTTTTGGTTATTGTTCTCTGGTGTGTGGGAAACCCTGATCTTTGGGACCGGGGATTGGTTTGCTTTTGGGGAACCTTTCTTTTGTGGCTTGTTTACCCCAACTTACCCATGCCTGGGCACAGGCTCGTGCCCGAATCACAGGTTATCAGCCGTAGGACTTTCCTACGCGCTTGAGACCATCAACTACAAGCTCTATGTCGACCCCACGATCTCGAAGGAGTGTCGTGGATGAGGAGGCCATCCTAGGGGGCCTCCGCTCAGGTGAGGACCTACCGGACTACGACTACGAGGATTTCGAAGCAGGTTCGACAGGTCAGGATCGCAGGGGTGAAGATCCCGGTAGGGACACACCCAGGAGCCGTGGCAGGTACACCGACGATGGAGACGATCGCATTTTCCGTCAGGCCACCGATGATGAGCAGACACGAAGGGTTCGCTCCGATAGGAGCGGCTCTGAATCAGGTCACAGGCGCGGACAGTTCGACTTCATCAGTATGGCGATGAACATGGCCCGCCCTCATTCGGACGACCCGGAGGCCATGCCGACCCGAACCCCGAGATCTCTTGTTCCAGGTGAATCGCAGGTCTCGGATGAGTTTGAGGGCAGGCCGCAAGGACCAGGGACTATGGTTTTGGCTCCGAGAGATATCTCGGGTCGATCCACTGGTTCTCAAAATCCAGGTCAGTTTGATGAGCGCGAGGAGAGGAAATTCACGGGCTTCGGATACGATGCTCTGTTGAAATCAACCGCAGGCTGGGGCAGTAGCGCAAAGCAGGAGTCTGATGCCGATAGGCCCAACCCTGTTGCTGCCGAGTTTGAGTTTGATAATGATGAAGATTATGCCGCATTTGCGGATCGTCGTGATGAAGAGGAGGACCAATCACGCCGAAATGCTAGGATCCGTGATGCTGCGAGGCCCAGGAGCCTCTCTCGTGGAGCCGCCAGGGACCTTCGTGTTGACAGGGACGCCCGAAGCGAGAGAGAGAGAGCCAGGGATAGTCGGGAAGTTCTTCGGGGATTGGAGGCCATCCATGATATTTAATAGCTGGCCGATAGGTCCCCCAGCGATTGTGGTGATACCCCGAATGTTCCCCCTTTTCCCAACATTACCTTTGGAGGTCCGTTGAATCAGAGAGATGAGAACTCGAACCAGGTTACTGGTTCGCCGAGGGTCACTGAGCGGGCTGCCGATGTCGTTAGGACAGGTGCCCGAGATGGTCGGCTTGCCGATGCACTCGGAATCGAGGATCGTCCGTCGATCGCTAGCCCGTTAGGGCGAGATACCAGTGACCTTGAAACGCTGAGGTCTAGCAACGAGTTCACACCTCAATGGGGTTCGACCGCCAGGGAACGTAGTGCTTCTGCGAAGAGGCCGTCACCCCTCGCCATTGAGACCGATAGGTCAAAGGCGAGGAGGGCTAGCCCCTCACCAATGGGCTCAACTCCGCAGGATGAGGAGATGCCTGATCCTGCTGATGTTCACATTCACTCTACTCCTGAGTCTCGTGCATCCAACATTGATCCCCGATCTGGCGATAGCCGGAGAAGGGGATCTACCCCAGGATTGATGATTGTCCTGTAGGCGACCCCAGAAGACATGCCGGGGCTAGTGGGGCTCCTGAGAGGATCGAGATATCGACTCCTCCTGCCCTCAGATCCCAGTCTTCCGGCGAGTCAGGTGGCGCTAGGGCAAAGGAGGTGTTTGATTTGCACATCCAGGAGATGCTCGAGAGGGGTGAGGTTTCTGGCTCAGTCGCGAAGGCGTTCCATATTTTTGCTGACCAAATCAGGTTACTGAACGGTCAGGTGAGTTCCATGCGAAGGGAATGGAGCGACGAGAGTCGACAGACGAAGGACAAGGTTGATCGCCTGGCAGCTGAGATTGCGACTCAATCTGATGCCGGTAGAATGCGAATGATAGTTCAACGGTTTGCCAAGGAAGTTATTCCTGACAGCAAAGCTATTGTGAGGCAAGCCATCGATGAACAGGCTGAAATCGTGGATCAGAGGATCAATTTGCTTTCTCACGAAATCCATGAATCTGTAAAGGACAATGAGATCGCAATGGTCAGATTATTCAGATGGTTAAGGAGAATCGTGCGGCCACCCATAGGAGCCATGCTGCTTCTGAGGATGAGATCCTTAAGGACTTGGACAAGCTCGAGGGACGGATGTTCTCGGTAGAGAAAACCGTTGGGATGCGGACGCCAGCAGGTGAATGGAATTTAAATCCTGCTGCGCAACCGCCCGATAGGGCTAGCAGCAGCGGGGCAAACGCGAGTTTCAGGGAGTTAAACCTGAAGCTCGAGAAGGCTCTTCTTGAACACGAGAAGTTTGCTAAGTGGGCCTCCGAATCTATTAGTGGCATTAATGAAGAACAAACCATTCTTGCTAATCGGATGTCGAGGCTGCAAAGTGGGAGGGGGTCACAGGCGATCGATAGATCATCAGGGCCTGTATCCCCGCAGGACTGGCATGAGGCAATTGACGAAGTCAATCGAAAAGTCCAGGATCTATCTCGCGGAGTTCAACGCCACCATGGGGATCATGACGATGTCCTTGCGAGGTTTGAAACCTTGAAGTCCCGTGTCGAGCAGTACGAAGCGAGCTCGGGGATTCTGAATCAAGTTCTTGATGACATCAGAAGGCAGATCCGCAGTCTCCCTGCGAACAGTGATCAAGCGCGGTCTGCCGTTAGGCGTGAACTCGATTCATTTCGGAGCACGCTTGAAGGCGCAATGCGGAGACTCACTACTACCGAGAGTAACATACGTACTCTTAATGGAATGAACAACAGGATCATGGCTCAGCTTACTGATATTGAAGGTCATGTTGATGAGGCTGCTGACATCATTCAGGGTGTTCAAGATAATCAGATGAATCCTCAACAACCCAGAGAGAGACGGAACGTTGGATACAACGCTTTTGCGGGGCAGGGACATAGAATCAGGTCTCCGGCGCCCACTCGGAGAAGGTAACGGTCGGGGTACTGGCCTTCCGGTGAGACCGGGCGGAGGTGTTGATTTGGCTGATCATGTTTTGCCAGATGTGCCCGGTAGGGTCGATCCTTCTCATGCAGGCAGGCATCCCATTCATCCCGATAGGGAGAGGGCTGACAGCAGAAGCAGGAGCTCGGGGACTGCCTGACAGGTCGCATTCACCGCCAGGGCGTGCCGAGGGATGGCCCCCGCGCGCGCGCAAGGGGGGACATTTCTGTTTCTCCCAACAGGGATGTGGGTAGGAATAGGAGCCCGAGGCCTGCTGCCGTCCCCGATAGGGGAGTGAGGTCCGGAGTCGGCAATCGAGGGGGGAAAGGCCAATCTGCGATAGCGGGAGCATCTCTCCGAACCTGGATAGGCCGATCCGCGATAGCGGGAGCGTCTCTCCGAACCCAGACCGTCATCCAGGAGGTGGTAGGGGTAATGGGGCCCATGCCGACATCCAGAGTCCCGGCGATAGCTGGAGGACTCCTGGGAGTAGGGCTCGTGCCGATATCCAGAGTCCCGGCGATAGCTGGAGGACCCCTGGAACTCCATCTGATCGTGGACAGGCCTCGGCACCGACCGCAAGGCGAGCTCCCGGTACCGGTGGCCCAGGTGCGCCAAAGATCTGTGCTCTCGATGAACCCAACGACCGTAGGCACCCGGACGCTGAATTCTCATGTGTTACGTGCAATCGTGAGTTTTGCAGGCTTTGCCGGGGCGACGATGGGGACTGTTGCAATTGTCACTTCTTGAAGATGAAATGCTGGGCGTGTCATAAAAGTGCCCAGGAGGTCCCCATGTATTCCTGCACGGAGTGTGCGAACCACATCTGCGAGGATCACAGTCATTTTGGCAATGATGGCCTCGAGCGATGTGCGCGTTGTAATATTCGGCATGAACGCGCTGCAGCTGGACCGCCCCCTCCTCCCCCTCCTGGGGGAGGAGGTGGGCAAGGCGGACCACCCGGCCAAGGTGGGGGCGGAAGTGGTGGTCATGGACGGTCCATTTCCACCACCAGGTCCTGGACATCCCGGCGGAGGCCAAGGTCTCGCTGGACCTCCTGGAGGCCCGAGTGGAGGGGCTCCTACCGGGG